CTGTAGCCTGTTGAAACGTCTTTTCGGCATGCATCAGTTTGTATACCTCTACCTTGATACATTGTGATAGACTCTGACCAGCCAATCAGAGCGCGATATTTTCCAGATATATTTCATGGACACTCAGGTAGAGATTAATATTTTCATTAATTACAAATCGCATCGTAAGTTTTTTTTATTGTTAAGGTGCATAGAACCAAATACATGTTTATTCTATGTTGGTGGAATTTGAAGTCGATCATGATGGTCACTGGAATGATGTGGAAAGAATTTCCAACTAGTCTGAGTAATATGATGTGATATTGATTTCGGTGGGATGAATATTTTCAAAATTATTGTAATTTTATGATATAATCTTATAAGCTCAAAAATCAAAGAAAAAGCAGTGTACCTTGATGGGTTGATATAATTCAACATAGCTCACCCAAAGACAACATCTACCTCCTGACCACTGTGCTTACCATGACGCAAAAAAATCTTGCTCTGGGTAGAATAATCATTAATTGAGTCCCCAACCGCATTGGCATCAGAGGGAATGAGCTTGCTGACAGACTAGCCGACATTAGCAGGGGTATGACCCAAATCCCGTGATCATACAACCAAGCCGAAAAATCTAAAAGGAGAAGTGTACTGCTTACCTTCCTCCTGCAGCTTCACAGAGAGAACACGAGATCCTCCCCCTCGGCCAGATAGTACTCAGACGCCACAGGTTATGAACCACTGGCACTCTCTGAATTAATCAACAGAGGTACCGAAGTAATTCTTCACAGAATCAGACTAGGTTACCACTGTGCATGGCAGATCATAGAGACAACCGTGAAGAGAGGGGTTGCATGCTTTGTGGAGAGCCGAACGCCTCCCTGGTACACTACTTAAAGAATTGTGAGGACACAGTTTCTGAGACAGGGACGACCCACAACAGTCACCGTGCTGGTAAAGAAATCATGGGTATGCTTACATCATGGTGGCAGGAGCGCCACCTGGCAATCCCGCTACCACAGTATGCACCGAGTGTCGCAGAACAAAATGAGACAGCCATAAGTAGCTGACATAGGCCGGGCCATATATGGAAGGCCCGGGCGAAGCTAAATCTTCGCAAATCTCAATTGTATGGTCTCCAAAGAAGCCGACCATCAGCAGCTGTAAACACAGGACTGCCTAGTCATTAGCCGATTGGGGAGGCTTCCCCGTTGATCTCTACTTCAACTCCAAACACCAAACCATACCTGTGGAAACTCACACCCACAACAAACACTCCCTAAAGAGATATAGACTAATCTAAGCAGCAGATGCTAAAACCCGCTCTACAACAACCTAAGATGCAGAATCAGGAATTAGGAAACTCTGGACTGTAAGGCCGGCCATACACTATCCGGTACACCTGACAGGTACGCCTGAACAGTCACGCCGGACAGGTATACCTGATACCGGAGGAGCACACACACTCTTCAGGCATACCTGTCAAGTCTGTCAGTTCAACATGGATTCTCGAGAAGACGAGTCGCACTTGCTTGCCTTATTAGCTGTAGCTTATGTGAAGTGTAATAAACAGAGACGAAAAAAACGAAAACAATGGTGTAAACAATGGATGGAAAGAAGAAATAAATTTACTCATATCAATCTTCTTAACGAATTGAGAGATGAACCATCTGATTTTAGCAATTATCTGCGCATGAATGAATCAGTGTACAACGAGTTGCTGTCACTTATATCCCCCTTGATTAAGAAGAAAGATACGCAAATGAGAGTAGCTATATCCCCACACGAAAGGCTGACAGCAACTTTGAGATACTTAGCAACTGGACAACCGTATGAGTCTCTCAACTAGGATTTCACCACAAGCTCTTGGACGAATTATTCCTGAAACATGTGAGGCTTTGAATAAAGTTCTGCAGAAATATATTAAGGTATGTCTTGTTTTTTTCATCATATTTTTAAACTGAAGAATAGAATGTTTAACAAAGCAATAAACCTTGCAATTAAATATTAAAGAAGGAAGAAATCAAAATCATCTTTCAATATACTTTCTTAGTATTAATTATCATACTTGCTCATTCAAAAGTAAAGCACCTTTCAAGAAATAAAAATTAAGGAAAAATATAATTTCCAATCTTAATATACCTAAACATTCCATTATCATTCTTTCTGCTTCAAAAGTAAGACACATATCAAGAAATAATAGAGAAGGAAAAATATAAAGACACATTTTAATATCCCTAAAACAAGCTTCTTATTTCCATATACACTCATTCAAATCCTGAGGTGAAACTTGAAAAATACGTTGCAGCCGATTCTGTATTGTTATGAGAAGTGGTGTTTTTTTCTTCTTGTGGACTTGGTGTGGGAACTGGTGTATAATGTTGTGGTCTTGGTGTGGGAACTGGTGTATAATGTTGTGGACTTGGTATGGAAACTGCTGTATAATGTTGTGGACTTGATGTAGGAACTGCTGTATAATGTTGTGGACTTGGTGTAGGAACTGTTGTATAATGTTGTGGAC